TAATCTTATTTTTTTTAATAAATGAGTATTGCTTTGACTACAGGTACAGTAAATGCTTTTGCATTTGATAATGCAGTAAAAGCATTTGATAAAGTACATCTAATCTTTTTTTAATAAATGAGTATTGATTTGACTACACAAAAACTGATTCTCCTACTTGGTTGTGAATGCTTTTTATTAATCCAATTAAGAATCTGAATGTATGAACAAACATAAAACTAGGTGTAGGAAAAAATTTAAAAAAAACCCAGCAAGGTAAATGGGAGGAAGTAGACATTTGTATGTGGGGCAAACAATTAATAATAAAGTTCAAATTCAGTAAAACTCTTAATTCCATTTTAGTGCCATCTATACTTTGCATAATACCTCAGGAATTGCTTGAGTCAGACTGAATTCAACAGGATTAGACAATAAGCTCGAATGTCTTGCTGATTCAGAACAGAAGTTTTAATGCAAAGATAAATATTTAATGTAATTTAACGAGATTCTTAATAAGCACAAGCAAAGAAAAACTACTAACTGCGGAAATCAGCTTTCAAAGTGAGGAGCAAATTTGCAAGACCTGCCATGGGCTTCACCCACAATAACATCATTAAAACCTGCCATAATGTAAGATCATTTAGGAAGTATTTCAGCCTTTAGCATTGTGTACAAGGAAAACATTTATCCTTGCAAACAAGCTATTTACAATCCCATTCCAGCCCATTTTTCCTTTGATAGAAACAGCAATCACTGCAGAATGAAAGATGAGCTACACTCATGGCTATTGCTTGTATTCCAGGACCGGTAAAACAAATCATTAAGACCAAAGCATCAGCCATTTTAATAAACTGTGAGCACTGTTGTTATTGTGGCTTATGGCTTTGCTCTGCACAGAGGGAAGATGTAAACATCATAAAAAATATATATTTTTACTGAATGTCTCTGTATTAACACTAAATATTCTACACACATAAATATAATTAATACCTCTATGTTATGTGCATACCTATATATTAACATACACATGAGTAGACCTCTAGTTCGATATACAAAGAGGTAGCTCAGGTCCTGACTTGCAATCAGGACAGGGCCAGACATTATGCTGGGACAAAAGGGGAAAGCAAATGTTCCCTGATTCCCCAGTTTAGCCATAGGCTTCTCTGGCTTCCAGAATGGTGCTGTTGTTCCATGCCAAGCAGGGTGCAGTTTTATGATACAAATTGAAAAGCTTTGGGGAAGAGCTGCCATGCAGAAAAAGACACATTCAAAATTATTATGTAACTTAAGAGAGCTTCATGGCTTTTATAAGATTTTAGTCACAGATTCTTTATTTCAATTATTGAATGAGTTTGCCTTTCCTCATATCTGGGTGTTCAACCAGCAAAGACACCTGCCACCTACCCTTTGAAAACAGAATTCTCTTGAAGGGGTCTCCACCAGGCTCCAAAACAAATGGGTTGCCAAAATCATTGTTCAACCAAAGCTGTTAAAGGTTAGAAGCCCTAAGCCAGCACAGAGAGTTGGGTTTAATCCCACTGTCTTAATTAAACTTGCTAACTCATTGTGCAAAACAGGTAGAAGGAATATACATATATATATAGTATTGAGAAACTGATTTTTCAAGATCCTGGCTGGGCTGGTATTGCTGGTCACCAGAAACCATTTTATTTGGCTTTTGATGCAGGCAACTCAATACAGAAATTACTGAGGTAAAACAATAAACATGAAATGATACAGAAGCAGGTCTTTTAATATTAAGCACTTCAGAGCTCAATGATTTTTCATCATTTTCCCCTGTTTCTCTATGCTAAAAAAGGTAGACTGGAGTTGCACAATTTCAAGGTAAAATTGTACAAGTGATGTAACTTTTAATATAAAAGAAAGCTTTTGAAAATATTTAAACAATTTAAACAGAAATACATATTTCTCACTTATTACTTCATGAGGTTGTTTTTAAACATTCATGAGTCATTTATCTTAAAATAAATTCTTCTCCATGAAGCTGTCTGCTTATTTTCAAGTTTTTAATGTGTTTTTCCCTTTCCAGTACTTCTAACTGTGTTTTAGAACATAATTCCTTAAAACTAATGAATATTTCTCCTTCTTTTATGATTCACTGCTGCTGTTGCTTAGCCACTGGTTATATCACCTTCACACTCTATCCTCACTCTTATGAAAAATGTTGTTATAGCCTGAAACAATGCTACCATATAGATAAAGTATTAAGTATTTTGTGCAGGTGAATAGCTCTTCCATTTCCCTCATCATTATCAGATTGGCCTATTCCTACAGGACTGCAGCAATTCTACAATCAGGATAATAATCAGTGTCTCTCTCATTCTCTGAATATTGCTGATAAAAGAATGAATCTTATTCTTTCACGCTTAACTATGCAAAACGGCGCTACTCATTTAACTGTTTCAGGAATCTCTGAACCATATGGATAAAAGTGCTCTTGGATGAGCAGGGTTTATTCCACTGTACCTAGAGATGTGAGGCAACACTTAATTTGGAGCATTAATTGCTTACAGATGCATTATGTTAAGCTGATGTGTACAGAAACCTAGATTATCACAAGATTTGGCTTGATTGAGTGAACTAGCTAGAGCTTATAATTTTGCATTTTGAGTGTAGTCTCTCTATGTATTACTTGCCAGTCCAGTTCCTCCCAACAAACAAATAAATTTGAATGTTTCTAATGAAGGAAGCATTTTAATTAATAACCATATGGGTTTTTATTTTTACAATTAAAAATACAGTCTGCTTATATAAGTAGAAAAAAACACTTAGAATTCTACAGCTCCACTATTAGAATGCAAAAACCAACACATTTTACTTTACTCATCTATTCTTTCCTTTGATGCAAATACATTAATCCTGAGACCAGGGTAAAATCACTCTATTTTTCTTAGTTTGGATTGAAGTCAGCCAGTTCTGCCTATTTGAGATAATTGATGGGTACCAACTATAAAACTTCACCTAAGAGCACTACTGTTGATGTGTGATCTCATATTCTAATCTTAGTAAATACATGCCCCCAAGCAAATGATGACACTCTGGCTCTAAACAGCCCTTAGGTTTAGCAAGTCTGTTTCTTTTTACATCTGGCTTGTCTTAATCTGGAAACAGATGTCCTGCTGTATTATTTGAAGCACAACTGGACTCACTGGAGCAGTTATGGATCTCTGCCACATTTCAGATTTTTACTGAATTTGTATTTTTTTAAGTGTATATACAGAATGTTTGCTTTGTAGGTTATATTTGCTCAGATATACAAAGGCTTCAACTCAACCCAAAAATGTCTATCCAGAACCTGTAGATCAATTTGTGTGAAGGCTTACTCCTCCTAATTTCTTTCCTTCTTTTCAAAAATTTTAAATTCTCTTTTCCAATTTACTGGATTCAAAATGTGCAAGTATAAAGAAAAGGTCCTCACTTGACATTTGGATCAGAAAGCACTGACCATGTTGAATCAACTTGTCCACGGGAATATATTCACAGTGCCACAGCTTGAGAACATGTACAGGTCAAACTCGTGCTCCAAAGGTGACATCTTCATGGGAAAACAACTGGCTTTTGTTCAGCCCTAGATCATAGCTCATAGACCCTCAGTGGTGCTGATTAGCACCAATAGGCATTTTCTGCAGCACAATAGAACAGAATGATGCTGATGATTTCATTTAAAAAAATAACTGGCTGTTTTTTTGGTACTGATTGAAATACACTTTTTGAGAGAAAAATCCTGATTTGGAGTTAATATTTCCATATAGAAGGGACTGTGCCACTTAACTATTTAATTTTCCTAAAAACCCCACAACTTAAGCGATAAAATCAAAAATTCTGTGTGCATAAACCAGCCCATTTTAGTCCTTTCCCCATTTTTTAAAGTTCATTAATGTTCTGAATTACTGCTAGTAATTATTAAATTACTGCATAATCAGTGGGGAATTCTCAGCTCACTTACAATAAAATATTAATTTTCTCACACTCTTTGACTAAATCTGACTATCAAATTCTTACAGAACTCATATCAGAACAGTATTTTGTCATTCTTTGAGAAGACATTTCATTCCCATGCAAATGGAAGTGCCTCTGAGCAGGCTAGCTGGTATATGCAACAAGTAACATGCAAACAGTAGTCTGAAGTCACTCCACAATTTATACAGAAAGTTTAACTCAAATTTGACTGGAAATACCATTGTTTTCTTGATATCTGGTATTTACATATGGCAAAGTGGTGGGTGGATATCTATCATATGTGCAAATATTAGAAAGAACAGCTGTGTAAGACAGTGTGTGTCACCACCAGAGAAAGAACATTTATAGGAAATGCACTTGGTAATTAAATAAATAATGGGCAATTAATTTGATAGAAGCAGGCAGCCTATTTGAAAGCAACAGAAGTACATAATGTAATCAAAGCATATTTGGTCCAATTACTTCCATTTGTTTATTTATTTAAAGGCATGTTGTGTACACACACTGCCTTTCAACATTTATTTTAGAAGAGAGTGCAATGTTCAACAGGCCAATAGAAGACTGAAAAAAACCATGGGTTTACTTCTAAAAATAGACATCATCAATAAGCAGTTCAGGCAACTACAAATTCAGTTTCAAAGTCAATGTCTCAGGAACACTCTTCAGTAGAATAGGGCACAGACTCCCAAGTGTATCAGAAAGGATGCTGTCAGCATCTGCAAAACTGGCTAAACAGCGTTAACCTTGAACACATGAACACATGAACAATCCACCCTAACGTGTAATTTTAACATGTGAATACAAATCTGAAACTTAACACACAAATCAGCCAAACAGCCAAGAACTGTGACTTTCTTTGTCATGAAACTAATCTAAACCCAGTGTCACTCTCAAAAGCAGGTTAAAGTAGACTAATCTTTCTGTCATTCTTCATAAGTGCCTAAACATGGAGCCTCTGCGGCCAGCCACAGGCAGTCATTAATTTCACACTGTGAAAACACTTTCTAAAGACAACTCTGTAATCAAACGTGGTTATTTACCTGTCATAGTCTTGGCAAATCTCCCCAACAGCTACCAAAGCTTTCAGGTACTCGTTGGGCTGATAGGGGTGGATGTAGTGCAGCGAGCAGCTGTTCCTAGGGTCGCCATTGGATGCAGTGAAATCTATAGCTACCTGGAAAATAAGAGAAGTCAAAGTGCTGCAGAGCTCTTCTGAGCATAAACACACCTACAGCAACTATATATATCTATATAGCTATGGATATCTATATATCAACTATACATCTTTACCAGAAATAATCTGCTGCAGCAAAGAGACAGCAGCCTCACAGCAAAGGTCATTTTACAGTGTACTTAATAAAATTGGAATTAGGATTGCACTGGTATGTATGTATATATGTAGAAGTAAATGACAGTTTATAAAATAAGAGGTAATAAAACTAAAATGGCATAATTAGGTAAAAAATTACCTGCATTGCTATTCTATGGGGACAATTATGTTCTAATACAAATGAATTAAATTAACTATCTCTAGGTTCTCACACTTAATTACATTATTCCAGCTCAGGTAACATTCAGGACATAAAAGCTTTGCAGCAAAAATGTCCATAGAGAGTTACAAGTCCTACTAAAACTATAAATTAGAATTTCAATTAGGGACATTTCTTAGCTATTTTAATAGTTACTGTGGCTGTAGTAGCAGATATTGCTTGTCTGGTATTTTTTCTCTTCAAAACATCTAAGCATTGAAAATTAACCCTCTCAGTTTCACAGTTGATAGCAGGCTTATACATGAGCTGCAGGGTAAAATATAAAGCTTGCATCCTGCAAAGATTTTTTGTTGTTGTTTTTGAAAAATCTTAGAGAAGATTGTGGGCAGTAGTCAATGCAAAAGCAAGTATTAATGAATCATCTTAAAATTAATTTCTCCCTTTTAAAATGCTCTTTATATGTCTCACTGAAGGTAGGCTCTGGCATGCATCTTCCTTTGTTACGGATCAGAAAGTCCTCTGCTGAATTTGTGATGCTGCTTTATAGGAATTCCTAAGAGGAGCAACAAGAATCCCAAGGGTCTTACAGAGGGAACAAAGCCATTTATAAAACGCCCATGTGTCCAATAACCTATTTCTCTAAAAATCACATTACACCTGAATATTCAATAGACAAATGCAGCAAGTTCAGATTTCAGTTTTACAGTGTAGCTAAAAGGTAAGGAAGGGTCTTGCTAAAGGCTGCAAAAATAACTCTGAAGGCACAGCTTGCTTTTGTAAATGTTCAGCTTCCCCAGCTGCAGCCTCTGCTTGGCACAGGGAACACTGCTTTATGCAGCTTCAAAATGAAAATAGAACATGACATTTTCATGCTTCCTTAAAAAAATTACACAGCCCTTCTGAAACTTATTTTTGTTGCTAAAAAGTTAAAGGGAAATATCATACTAGGTCAACGCAACACAGCTTTCCTCCACTGGTTCTGATTTTTCACCTCTATCTTTTAGCTGAAGAAACTAACCTCTAGTAGGCTTGGAAATCCCTTCTTTGCTTGATCATTCATGAACCCTGGCACCTCACCACATCCAGTCAGGAGAGAGATGAGGTTTTTGGCTTGCAAGTAAGAGTAATCTTTCACCTCTGCTTCCTACTCACTGTTCAGGCACTGAAGCATTGAGTTTGTTTTCCACATAGATCTTTTTCTAAAAATGGTATCTGGATTTAACTTGAATGAATCAATGGAGAACCTCTCATGACTTCACTTTTGAGGCCACATAACTGAGGAACACTACGCATATTTAACTGAGGAAGAAAACAACACTAGTGGTTTGTGAAATCCAAGAGAAATCTATGGATGCTTGTATGAACTACCTTAGCTGTGGGAAAATTTTTTGTAAAAAATCTTATTCAAGGTATGCATATTTTCTTAAAAATAAGTATATTTTCTCTGATAATAATTCAACCTTAATTTGATTACAGAAGGCACAAAAGTGCCACTGTATGATAGGGAAAAAAAGAGGATTCCTGTAAAATTGTTTAAAGTAGGTGTTTTTACTGACAATTCCAAAACACTAAAACACATTAACAAGACTTTAGTAACACCTCAAACAGATCTGGACAAGTCTCCCTTTATGGCTAACTGCTTTGGAAATGAAATCAAGAATGTGGAGTAGGAATAAGGAGTGGGTTTCATAAGCTTGGAAAAAAGCCTGTGGCTAGTGTTTGGGAAAGCAAAAAAACCCAGCTTCCTGGAACAAGCTTCCTTTTGGAAATGGTCCTTGCAGTAGAGGTCTGCTGATAAGTAAAAAAATATCCTAATTTCCTATGATGAAGAATTTATGAATATTTGTACTTGGATGCAGCATACTTCTTGAATTTGATCCAAATCTCTGTTTGACTCCCACAGGGAGGACTTATAAGAAAGATGACCGCTGTAAATTGCCTCGATTCCAAAATAACAATGCAGAGCTCTGCTCCTTTAGCATTATCCAACAGGACCAAGGTCTTGGATAAGGATTTGTAAAAATAAGTTAATATATGACAGAAGTTATGGTAATATCACAATTGAGCTTATCTTTTAGGCAGTTAAGTAGGAATCTTTCTTAAGGTACATGCATTTGATTTTATCAGTGTATCTTTAAATCTATCAGTTCCAGAGTAGCAGTTGTCTTCCCTTAGCTAAATAAGAGCATAACAGGGCAATAACTACACTCAGTACCAGCTTCTTTTTTTATCCTCAGAGTTGGAAAAGGGTGATTTTCACTACACTACATAGCTGGGACCTCCTGCTAGATCTGTCAGCAACAAATCAGGCTGCCCAACACCGTGACCTGCCTGAGAGAGTATCTGTCCAATATATCTTTCTATTACAGTTCCTTTTATGCATGTTACACATGCTTTCTGCTGTATTTCCTGAAGTGATGAAAATGTCTTCTGACTACAGACCCATTTGCACTGCCAACCTCTGAACATTTCTTGTGCAGCAGGGTACACTGTCTGATAAGAGATACAGTGTTTGGCAATAAGCTGGGCATAAAAATAGAGGGCTGGAATCAGCACTATTGATCTCTATAGATGAAAGCTTCTTAATAACTGGTTGTAAAGCGAAGGGAAAGTTTACTTTCATTTTTCAGAGACATTCTTTCTAACTACAAACCATGTTTCTAAAATAAAGATAAAAAATTATCCCAAGAATGCACAGCATGACGTTACCAAGGCTTCCATTAGTGCCTTAAATTAGCAGGTACATCACACTACAGCTTTTTGTTATCTAATGTGTGCCTGGCATCCCAGTTTCCCTCCCTCAGCAAGTGCCCTTTCAAATCACAGTTGTATCATACTGCCTGTACACAGCATGAGATCAACAGAAACGTCATTAATATCAGGACAGTGACAACAACAATACACATATCAGGAGAGTTTCAAACAATCCCAAATCCACTAGAGTCAGAAAAAAATGGAAATCTGGGAAAGTCCAAGGAATAGGCCTCCTCTGTTTCAGTGGTCTGAATTAATCAGATTAGGACTATGTGAAGAGGAGATTATATGATGCATGCAGAAAGCAAGGGAAAATGGAATATCTCCCCAGCAGCTGCTCCCCAGCTGCTTTTGTTTCAGTGACCAGTGGAGAATTCATTTTGGAAACAGAAAGCAAGGGAAAATGGAATATCTCCCCAGCAGGCTGCACCCTTTTGTTTCAGTGACCACTGGAGAATTCATTTTGGAAAACAACAACACATCTCACAACCAGTCTGTGCTGAGGTCTGCTGGAAGAAGAGTGGAGGAAAATACGTGGAGAGCGAGTTTGTGACGATGTTGAGGTAGAACCACTGGGCTATGCATGCAGGCAGCTAAAGGTACAGAGATGTCACAGTGACTTACCCTGGGTCCCTGCAGGTTGAAAATTGATAGTGATATGCTTACACAAGACTGTGGATTTCCCATTAAGGGCAACAGTAATTCAGGGATCTCTGTGGTTGACAGTATAACAAATATTCAATTTCCTTTATGTCCTCACTGGGCATCCTTGAAGATGAGCTTACTTAAGCTTTCTATTACCAATTGTTTGTTTCATTGTAGTAAAATGAACTACAGAAAACACAGTAGAAGCCACTATCCACTTTAACCTATTTGTCCTATCACTTTCAAACTTGTGTTTTGCAGCCTACTAATAGGAAACCTATGACAAGTAAATAAAAGGCAAGAAAACTGCCATAACCCTTCCTTGCACTAAGAACTTGCTCTTCCATTGGAAAACTGTTATGAGGAATCAGAGTTTGAAAAGGTATAACTTATTATGTAAATCCCTAGATACTTTCTAATGGTGGCAGTGCTCCTGTTCTTGAGCTGGAGTTGTGGGAATTGCATATTAACTGGTCTTTGCATGTGCCTAACCACATGCCCTCATTAGGAAAGGCTTTCAAATATAACATGAAGGCATTAATGTCTTTCTGATAATGACCTTGAATACATTTGATAATTGATTTCTTCCAGTCATATTTGTGAGGGGGGGGGAGGGGGAATGTCAGGTGACTGGGAAGTTTCAGACTTGAAGGAGAAATGTGCATTGCTGTTATGTGGGGGTAAAAGAAAAAGTAGCCACATAAGGCAGAGAAGTAATTACACAGTATGCTTTACATGAGAGAAGACAATTATAAAGATCTTTGTCCACTGCAGAAGGTATTTTCTTCAAAACCAAAACAGAGTCCTCAGTTCTGGGTGTTATCCAATGAGTCTGTGACGAGTATGGGCAAAGTCCATGTTTAACACTTCAAAAAGCTCATCTGTACACAAGAAGTCAATCCACTACTGTCTATAGCTGCTGCTAGAACTTTCTGCTACAATTAAAAATGTATTTCTTTTTTTGTCAGATCTTTTTGGAAAATGAAGGCTTGTCTAGAAAATGTGAAATAGAACATGTCAGTAGCATCCAGTGTCTGCTACGTTATATATGGGAGCAGAAATAGGGCAGGATGCTACAGGAAAAGAAAAGATCTCCAGAAGAAGAATATTACCCTTGTGCATTAGATTTTAGCCCTTTAGCAGGCATAAATTATAAATCACATAAACCAGATTGGAACTGAGCCACAATCCTATGCTATGGGAAAAACTGATTTATCATATTACATTATATTATGTATATTAATTTTTAGATACATGCTACAAAAAAAGATCAAACCCACACATCATTAAATGTTTCTAAATTTATTAACTGGAAATACAAAAATCTGTATTACTATTTATGAAGAGACCTGCAAATCCTTTTACACCCTGTTCCTTGAACTGAATAGCTTCTGAGTACACTCTGAATTAGAACTGTGTCCCCCTGTAATGCCATCTTACTTGGTAACTATGGTTGAGATATGAAACACCAGCATGTACCCCAGGCTGACAGAGAAAAGTCCCTGGCTGGATCTCTCTGTGTGTGACTTTCAGTATGGCACTGTTTCAGAGGAAACAACTTGCTTTAACAGAAGACTCATTCTGGAAAGGAAGGCTGGCCCTTAATACATTTTGCAAGAAGAACTTAATAATTTACCAAGAAATGGCATGTAAGAATCATTTCTCTGAAAGTAATGAATTGGTATCTAAGGGGATTCCTTTTCTTCAAAACAAGTTAGAGAAGTAAGATACTTACTGTAAACTGTATTTGGCAGCCTCCCATGATATAATCTAAGAAAGAATGCATCTTGTGTATCTGCAGACAAGAAAGCAAGATATTCAACTTAGCTATGTACTGATAAAACATAGTAGAACTGCCTGAAAAAAAATAAATTGGAAGGCGAGAGGGACCAACTGAAAATAAGGTAAAGGAAGAATCATTAAATATAGTTGGAGACAGAAACAAAATTATATATAAACAGAAAAAAAAAATCAAAATTCTAAACCTACAGAAAGGAAAACAAAAAAGTAGAACCAACATCTCAGTGGGAAGTTAGAGAAAATTTTGCTGTTTGTTTAGGAGAAACAAGAGCAATGTTGTAGATGTAATGGTGGATACACAAGGGATACACACAAAGTTGGAGAGTATTTAGGTGTTAGAGTTTAGTATTGTCTTTTCCATTGTACAAGAGAAGGGATAGGGCAAGATAAATGAAATGAGAGTTGAGGACAGTCAACTTGCTTTTGAGATTCAAGTCCTTGCTTTTACTTTTTGTAGGGAATAGTTTCCTTTGTTATTCTGCAGGTAGTTCCACTTTGTTCCAAGCACCATTAAAATATATCACTGAGAGCTTAGTAAAGAAACAGTCAAAAAATAAAACACATACTTACCTTGCACTGGTTAAGGATGACAATGCCTGAGTTCTTGTAGTTCTTCTTCTTTGCTTTGTACTTGGGGTTAATGCATTCCCATTGTACCTGTGAAAAAAATAGCAGTCATTCTCTGCAGGAAGATTTTATGTACAGATTGAATAATTAACAAAAACTGCATTGCCCAATTTCCACAGTTAACTAAATCATTACAGATAATGGTGCACAGAGAGGAAAAAAAATGAAAACCGTTAACTATGCAGAGAATAGTTAATAGAAAAAGGCCCAGGGCAAACATCAGTCTTTGAACATATACATGTGGACACGGCACTGAGGGAGACATCGAGATTAATTTGTTGTCATCTTCCAGTCTTGTAGTTTGAGGTGTTACATAAGCAAGATTGAGGATCTTTTGAGAGGACAAAAAAAGAAGGAACTTAATACAAATGAAAATACTGGAGAGAGTAACCTGATGAATTGTATTAACTACAAAACTGTTGTCACAGTTACACTGGGTTTTGTATTAAACTCATGATTATAAAAATTCTGGTCAGCAATTATCTCACTTTCTCCTTTAAGTATGATAGCAAAATAAAAAGTAAATCAGTAAAATGTTCACAAAGATGCAGCTAACTAATGATACATTTGAAATTTATCCCTAAGAATACATTAAAATACCTTTTTGATTTTTTCATAGTTTTATTTACAAATAGTCAATTTTACAGCACAACAGTCCTACCTTGTTATTGAAATACATCTCCTTGTTCTTACAACATCTCCCAGGTTCTTAATCATTTTGACTTGAAATGCCTTCCTCTGGTTTCAGGCAGAGTGATAAGGCCAAGCTTTCAGACCCTCACCTCTAATATTTACAGTGTTATTCATGCCTTTTACTGCAGGAGTAAGATGTACATTTGTACATGCAAGTGCCTATTGGCATTTGTAGATACAGATTTTTATCTCTAATGTGCTGTTAACGTGGATAATAACATGGACTATTTCCCTTCAGGGAGCTGTTTTCAAGTGTGGAGACAAGACAGGTGATGCCGGGTAACAGAAAGAAATACAATTCCAAAAGGAACCAGAACAATCTGTTATCTAAAAATCTCTATTATGACATTTTGAAATGAAACATGTCTTAAGTGTTACAGTGTTTTGACTACAATGAAAACCTGCCTAAGTGTTACAATACTTTGTCTACAGTGAGGTACATATGTGACGTATTCTAGCAAAGTGTTAGAGCACCAAAAACTATTTTTACTTTGTGCTAAGCCCCAGAAATTTCATCAACTTCAAACCACTGTCTAACAGCAATTATTTGAATGTCTCTGAAGTATTCCAGACATAGAGATTTTGTCAAACATCAAAAAAAGGGAAGGCAAAACATATGGCTTTGGAGCCATTTCTGCACAGGGGAGGAGTGGTATCTTCATCACTGTGAAATGGAGACAGGTGACAGAGTGAAGAATAGGAAAAGACAAAAACAACTGTTCCAACTGCAGGAAGCACATCTGCTTGCTCTCCCAGCTAGCCTACAGCTCAGTTATTTGTCTTGTGAAACAAATTTTCCAACTGAGAAGACGGGCAGATACTGGCCCTCATGTTCAGGGGAAATCCTCCGTAAATGATTTTCTCTACTCAAGACAAGCAGTCAGGCTCAAGAAATAAAATCCCTTCTCTCCCAGCAAAGAGAGTGGTCTGTAACACAACACTGGAGTGCAATAAGCTCATATTTGGGTGTGAAAGCAAGGCAAAAGCACTGCCTAATCTTGATAGGTTGCTGTCGGGTAAAATGGTTTAACACACAGTAGTCTGCACACTTACTTGAAGCATTTCTACAGAGAAATCATGCTGCCTGTATTTCACAGATAAACTAATATACCAAATAGAAAGAAAAAATAGGAGACAGGATTTTCATTCCTCCCTTTCTCACTGAAGTACACTGGAGAGGTGCAGTAGCTTTACCCTGAACATCCAAGGTGAATCTCCTTAATTCTAGCATTCTCCAACATGACTATTTTTTCAAAGTGTACATTTAAACAGCCTGATCTATATGAAGCCATATACTATGCATATAATTTCCCTTAGGAAAAGGATTATTTAAGCCTTAAAAAAGAAATTTCCATGGTATTTTTATGGAAGAAGTTTATAATAAAGAGGTTTATAATAAATAAAGTGGCATAGAACATAACTTCACGAGAGAGAAAAATATCTCAGGTTCTCCTTGCTAACTGTAAAATGTAATTGTGAATGTTCATCTGCTTTGCAAAGCGTTTTAAGATGTATGGATAACAATTCTCTTTAACTACCTAAAGCTCATTAAACTGTTCTATGTGCAAGTCACTAACATTACTTATGTGATAATACAGCAAAGGATAGAACAGACTACAAAATTTACAGAAAATAGGAAAACAAAAGGAAAGAACAATTTTGCGCTTATTAAATCTATTGATGATAGTATAACGAAGGGAAGGGAATAAGAGAGGAGAGAGAAGACATTTCCCAGTTCATAGGCTCAAAAAAGCCAGCAAGACTGTTTTACACAAAGCTGTCTTCACTTACCCACCAAGATCCAATTCTGGATCCTTGGCAATTCCCACAGCTGAAGCTAAAGATGTAACAAGCATCATTTGAAGGAAATTCCCTATACACGTCTTATGTTTATCCAGCTTTTATAATGAGAACAGAGTTCAAAATACAGCTCTAAGCAGGTAAGTAATAACGAGAAACAAGTCTCAAATATTTTGCTTGCACTGTTGAGGCTAACCTCAATTTCCAGTCTGTTCCTAAATTCCCAGTATTGATTTGGTATCTGACATTGTTTTTTATCGATCCATTTTTGCTCTTAAATTAACTTTTCAGTTGAGAGGAAACTAATGCAATAGTCTGCAATCTGACACTAATGGTAAACATTGTGAAGTTTGGATTCGTCATTCTGAAAGTCACTTAGCATTTCCTCCAAATGCCTGACAGCTCTGGGCTGTGCAAACTCTTTCCCTATCGAACAATGCAGAGAATCTGAAACAGAAAGCAAGCTGGTTTTAAACTATCTACTGTTAATTTAAGTAATGTTGCAAATGTTGGTAATGGACTCCCAAGACTGTACTGTGCTGGTGTTTCTTTTATACACTTATATTTAAACCACCGTGTGAAGAATTTCTGAACAAACTCCATTCAGCTATTCTTCAATGGGAGCCACTGAACTAATGCTGACACTTGGAAGGTCCCAATCCTCTTGTGCCTGTGATGAGGAGACACAGACTCCTAAGTGGGAGATGTTACTCTGCTCTGAAGGATACTTTTTCCAAACACCCTTACTTCTTCTCTTAAAAAAACTTCAGAAGAGAGAGAAAAGCAAACAATGCAACCACTTATGCCACACACCAGCAAAGGGATGTGGAGCTGACTAAATGAAGACAACCATTGTAGAAGCAAAATTTGGGCAGTATGTGGCAGAAGCTATTCAGAGAAAGGACTGAAGGTGTCAGGAGAGTTTCATGTTCCCCAAGGCAAGACAAATGACAGCAGATGTTTTCTCTGGGACAGTGCTAGCACACCAGAACATTGGGTAGGCCTGTGAAGAAAGGGCTAAAGAGCTTTTATTGCTTGTTGTACTCTTGTGGCATAGCTTGTGTTAGCAGTAGAATGCTCTTTTGCCTCCCCTGCACTTGGTTTAGCTCTTCTTCCTTCCTGTTCAGCTGCTGCAATGAATTGCACAGTTTGTGAATGACAAAGGAGGCACTGCAGTCTAATGGATGGGGCAAAACCCCCAATCAATATAAGGCAACATTATATCCTGCATTGTCTCTTTCTGATGCCTCAAGAAAAACAAACCACTTTTGTGTGAACTGAGTCTCCTCCCACATGGAAGGCTGCTTTATTCCTGCCATTCCTCTAGGCAAGAGCACAGGATAGTTTTGTGGTTTTTTTTCTCTTCCTGTCTCAGAAATACATCCACCAAGAGAGAAGAGCCGCCTTTAATCACTCTCAGAGATTTTCTCTGGAAACTTGCCCCCAGGGAACAAAGTGGAAATTAAAGCACTTCTTGTTTCCCCAGCCAAGCCCCCAGCATCCCCTGTGCTTCCGAGGCTCCACCAGTGGTTACCTCTGCACAGGGATTTGGCAGGTGCCTGGAGTGGCTGCTCTCTACTGCCCTGTCTGGGGCCAGGAGCAGCTGCTGGTGTTGCAGACAGTCCTGGGTGAATTGGGCTGTCTCCTGATAAAACTGGAATTGTCCGTAAGTGTCAATAACACCTCGGCTCATTACCAAGAGCTTAAAGGTCTCACCGTGCAGTCATCTGAAGAGCTACCAGGTGGAAAAGTCCTGCCTAATAACACCCTGAACTTGTGGGAATGTCGGGGGAGAAGTGCAGGGGGTTTCTTCATCCTCTTTCCTTTTGTGTGTGTGCAAATGCACACATGTCCATTTTTATGTAATACATAAACATGGAACAGATTTTTCCCTTACATAACTCCTGTGCTGCATGGGGATCCAGGTGATTTCTCTGAATTTTCTCCTCTAAAATCCCTCTGGCTTTATTGCCTTGATTAAAAAAACAAACAAAAAAAAGTGATTTTTTTTTTCTCATTAGTAGAGGATTCCTCCTTTCAACTATGACAAGCTTTAATAGCACTTGCATTTATGTAATCTCAACCTTCTTCTTGTCCTTGATGGATAAATATTAGAACACCTTAGAAACTGCCACTGTACACACATATTAAAAACATATGTATTCTTGGAAGAAATCTTAAGACACAATAAACTCAGAGTATTTGTTAGTATTTAACTTAAAAAGATAAGGATGGAGTTATTCTTGCTGTGGGTTTTTTTTTTGTGTCAAGATTCTGGTGAAAGAGTAAATAATAAAGTTTGGAATGGTGGAAAGTGTTAATAGAAGATCTAGAAACCACAGATTTACATGTTGAAAAATACTTCTGAGATGGTTGAGTCCAACTGTTAAGGCAGCACCACCAATTTCACTATTAAACCATGGTTCATGCAAGGGGTGCTTAAGATATGCACTTAAGGAAGTGGAACAAAAGGATGTCTTTGTGCCATTTTCTATTGGTGGTCAGTATGAAAACAGGCTAGGTGTCAGAACATAACAGTCTATGACCACAAGGTAATTGTTATGGAAGAGAAACACATAAAGTTATTATCCTGAGGTTGTTCATGATGAGAAAGTCTCCTTAAAACAGAAGACCAGCAAGGTTTCTCAGAATTCAGTCCTCTCAGTCATGGAGAAGCACTTAACACTCTGAAGAAGTCCAAATTCAATATTTTCAAATCTCACCCAAGATATACCAGGTTCAGAAAAGAAATTCATAAACAACTTATGCCACTTCTGATAAAAACAAGTGGTCTCATTCAGGTAAGGAATTTTCTGTCTCTTCACACAATACTGGCTCAGCCACTCAGAAGATACCAGTGCTATCTAAAGGATGCCTGGTCTCAGACACACATTTCTGAGAAATCTCACAGCCAAGGCAAGCCAGTAAGCTCATCTGAGGCTGACACTCAAAACTTGGGATAATCAGTACACAGCCCAGGGATGGAACAGTCTTAGAAGCACCACTGGCTCCTGTAAGTAAGCAGGTGACACATATCCATTCTGTCCATCTCAAGCGGTTCTGTAGCAGTTGATAGATTGGCTACAAGGCAAAAATGTCTTTACTTTTAGAGGGGGAGGTTGAAGAATGGGTCAGAATGCTCTGTACTTTCTGAAGGATGAAGTATGTACAATTAAAAGGCAACTTCAACATCATTGTCAGCTGCTCCAGAGATGAGGTGAGCTGGTGAAATGGTGAGAAGCACTAGCAGCTCACAGATACCAGACAGTCCATGCTGCTCACCAGCACGAACTGTGGTACTCCCACTCTCACTGCTTAATGCATCTATGACAACTTGTGCTGCTGATTCCAGCCAATACAGGCATTGCTGATGAGCAGAGATGGAGATCTGTGCCACTGCTGTAGCAGTCCTTCAAAACCACACAGATTTGCAGATGAAGCTTAATCAAAGTTCCTGGATCCCCTGTCAATGATGAATGTTCCTTCCAGTTCTCTCCAGTTTTCTGAGCAAACAAAAAACCCTGGATGACAATCACTAGGGCGTTTTGATTATCTTTTGACAGAATTATAGTAATGTACTGTAGCTGGCTGTAAAGTCTACTGCACAAAAGAAAATATAACCAGAACAAGAAGCTTCACTGCATCTCCTTAGCAACTCAAATAGGGATGCCAGACCTGAGCTCTACTCTTTACTCTGGCTTCCATAGCATCTGAGATGAAGTTCCAGGCTTTGGCCCTCATCTTCAACACTTGATACATCACATGTTGTGATGATTTCACAATGTGAAAGAATGTTAACACCAGGGGATGGAGGATGTAGTTTTATTCCTCTGACTGAAAGGAGTACTACATGGAAAACAATATTTTCTGGTCTGAGGCTATGAAAGGGTCTCTCCTAGGAACAAAGAACTATGTTTAACCTACTCATCTCCCCACCCACATATAATTACATTTCTCTGATATGGCCTTCCTTATCAGAAATAGCTAGCAACACATCTACTTGAAGGCGAAACCTTCCTTCTCTATAATTTCCTCCAGGTTCACTGTAACCTCTTTATTCAAAGTAAACACTCCACTGAGCATGCTTTTTCTTTAGGGAGGCTAAAACTCAAGAAAAACCTGACAACTGCTAATCACTCTACTTAATGTTGCACAAAGGATGTTGACATAAACTATGCACTAAGATGGTTTTATGGGGTCCACAGACCCCATAAAAAAAACCCCCATATATTGCCTTTATCAGAAATAGTTATTTCTGCAGAATAGAGAAAAATGAGATAGGATGAGGGAGAGACAGTGAGAGAGTGAAAGGGAAATTTAATTCTGGCTCTAGCCAAGTGACATGGCTTCCCACACAACTGACCTCTCCTGTACAACATAGGATCACAGTATTGTTTTCCATAAGTACATCATCTCCACCAGGACCTGCTCAAACTCCTACTGCTTGTTCTTGTCTGTCATTCTATTAGTGCTCACCAAACCCTGATTTCATCAGGGGTAGGAGCCATCTAGAATGTGCATTTATATTTTTGGACCACTATTTATCAGCCACTTAAATGACTAATGCTTACAATCTTATCCACTCAATCTTGTTATCCTCTAGAATAGGCTACAAAACAAGGATTAGAAAAGAGCAGAAAGGAAACTGATTCCCACCTTGGTGGTAACTGTGTCCCATGAGAATTAGTTATACCAACAGCAGGGTTTTGCAGGTGCAAGCCCACAGAATAACTTCACAGCCACAACAGAATGAAGGAGCAGGGAAGAAAAAAAGGCACAATTCCTAGGGCGTGTGGAGGAAGATTGCAGGTAAAAGGTTACAGGTGAAAGACAACCTGCAGATTGGCAAATGGCAGGTCCATAGCAAGAGTAAGATTCAGGCACTTAAACCACAGGGCAAAATTAAAATATTTTGGGATAGCACTCTGATAGTGCAGTGACAACCTAGAGCAAGAGCTGACAAATGGCTGCATTAACTTCTTATGCCTCTGAAAGAGCAATCACCCTTTTTGCTAGCTGAAGATGGAAAAAAAACATACTATTTCTCCATCATAATAAATCTTTTATCCTGCAGAGCCATTCCTGGCATTCTGGACTACAAGGCTCTTGTTTTGGCCAACAAGCTGTCTCCTGGGAAGGACCATGATGTGGTTTTAAGACACTTACATTTAAAATGCACACCCTTACCACTCTCACACAGGTATTTAGGTACCTGAGACAGGTACCTGAGACACAAGTACCTGAGACACAGGTATTTGTATACAAATTTGGAATATTGTCACATCACTGGCGTTGTTAATGTTATTCATTCTGGGATTTGTTTACCTCCTTATTTCCACACAAATTTTGCTTGATAAAAGTTTTGATCCTCTGACTTGATTTGAGAGAGCAAGCAGGGTTTCATTTACACTCAGGTTGTGTTCAGAAGTTATTTATGATGGACTAATATATGGCAGATGCATATCAGCAGTATTTTACACACATGAGCAGCATTTGCCAAACTTCAGTGTATTCTAAGAACTTCAACAGAAAACATCTAGAAGAGCAATAAATGTTTCTTGACCTATGGCACAGAATGACTGCTTACCACTTATCAAACACCTTCTGACTCTGTGTTAGATTTTTACTAACATATTATAAACAGAACCTTAATAAAAAGCCCAGATAAAGCTTATTGCGCATTTGTTTTCGGGGTTGAGATTGCAACAATAGTGGAACAATGAATACAAATTATCTGCAGGATCAATGTTTTTAACTTCCCCTCAGAGAATTTATCAAAACTAACACCTTTAGAAGTAAGTAGTAATAGAAAATGACAATTTCTGGAATTAGATATGCCAAATGACTTATCATATTAAATAATTACTATCAACTGCAATTTGAAAAGATCAGGCTGTCATAAAGAAGTGAAATTATTGATAAGCTAACAGTTTCATTTTCCCTTAGGGCTGTAAATCATGAAATACTTAGAAAACCGATTAGTTTCATCATGATAGGCTCTAGTTAAAGCTGGCAGCAATGAATGCAGCACATGAGAAATGGAGAAAGATGGAGAATGACCCTCACCCAATAGAGGCCTTTAGGCCAGCAGGGAAATGCTTTGAGCAGCCAGAATGGGCATCTGCTTTGCAGCACAGCACCTCATAGAAGTCATGTGCTTGGGCTCAAAGGAAATAAATCTTAGCAGAAAGAAATGCCTGTGGAATGGGAACTAGGAAAAAGCCTTAAAGTATTTCAGACATGAATGTACGGGAGCAAATGCTCTTTTACATTTTCAGATTACTGCACCCAGGTAACAGTAAAACCTGTGGGAGAGATCAACACAACTAAACTCTGGGAAATGATGAGGCAGTGCCACTTGCTTTATGACAGGATTGTCTGGGGAACACTGCTCTACAAAGATTACATATTGAGATTGCTCAGGTGGTTTCTACTTACCTGTCTTCCCTCCATAGCTCCTCGCATTTCCTTGAAAGTTGAGCTAAATTCTCCAATGAAGTCATGCTTTCCATTGGAATCCCAGTCCCAAACTATGCACTGGGGAGACAAAGGGGAAAAGAACAAACCAGCACATTTTTCATCAGACAGAAAAGAGATTTTATTGAAAAACCCTGCAGGAGAAATTATGATGTACACTGGGTGGAGGGTTTTATCTTAGACAAAATCACAACACATAATAAAACCCTATTCGTGTTCTGATCAAAATAAAATGGCAAGTGGAATCTCAACACAGCTTGCTGCTGATAGTTCTGTGTTATGGAGTTTGCCTAATGAAGCATGTATTTCAGAAGGAAAGGATTTCTTGTCTGCATAATTTTGCTAGGTGTGAAAATACAGGATTATGTGTATTTGCATATTCATGGTCAAATGGTGTCCTGACTTACCTTGTTGATGTGCTTTGCAAATACAAATTAATATTCAAAACCCTGTTTGCCTTGGGCAAACATTACTTTTCTCATTTTTACAGTCAGTGAAGGTGAGACAATAGTCACAGACATAATTTTTTTAAATGGCTTTGAAATTATACACATCAGTGTTTGGTGCCCATATTTGGCTGTTTCCCAGTGTTGCTCAACAGTGACTATACAAACCAAACCTCACTGGTAGTCTTGCCTAAATTCATGCATAAAGATGAATATCTCAATGAGTTTAGCTTTGAGAATTTTATTTTACTGATTTTTCTAAATACAACTCAGCTAGCCAAGACAGAAGCACATAGCAATAACTACATGCTTTGCTAAATTGTAATTTTAAAACTGCTCCAAGGACAACAAAGGGGCTCACAGCTTTAACAGCAAAATCCCAAACTCAGCCTTATGTTCTCTCTAGATAATCGTCGTATACACTGACTGAATCAGGAGGCCTTTACTGAAAATGTCCTGCTAAGAAATATCTTTTAGGGTTTTTTTAAAAGCAGAAAGGTGTCATCTGCCCTGTCACATGAGGAGCACACTGTTATTGCACTATCAGAAGGTTCTGAGGGTAACAACAGAGGGTTTTATCTGCCTTCTTTGTCTCAACGAGGCTCAGTGCTTTTGACCCAGCACTGGTGGTCAGAAAACACAAGAGGAGGAGCAAGGTTTCCTCCTCAATGACTCCTCAAGACAATTGAAGTTAGCTTGGTCCAAAGGGGCACTGAGTTCACTCAGAAGGAAACTGAAATCATTGGATGTCCACTGGATTTTGAGTTTTAAATATTTCCAAAGAAGCACTTTATTAAAACAGACTTCCCTGTCCACCAGTTATGCTTTCTAATCAGCCTGAATAATCCAGTCAAAGCTGGTAGGTGGACAATCCCTTTTGAGGGTGTGGGAAAGACTCTAAAAAGCTTGAGGTTTGGACCATTCCACCACCTCCTATTTTAACTGCATTTTTTTTTAAATGGAGGAATCCCAGACTAGAGGAAGATCTCCAGATCGAAATGTGAAAATATTTTACTCTAAGACTTACAGATACTTTTTTTGGAAGCTTTTACACCTAGTGGGGAAAAAGGGAAGTTCCTGCATTTGTTTATAGACTAAATTTCATACAAGAGCAATCAAATGAAAGTGGATTTCTGATTCTGATAGTGGTAATAGTGCCTGGAAAAAAACTAGACACAGTATTTTCAACACTAACAGTCCTGGAGTATTCTTTCAGATTAAATATTCCCTAAAAATTACTCTTTGTTTCTTATCAACAGAAATTTTAGATGACCTGGTAACAAGAAAAAAAGAAATCCAAGAAAAACTAATTTAATTTGCAAAAAAATTCCTGAAACCAGTTTTGTTTCATAGAGCTTGAAAATTTATTTTTCTTCCGGGAAATTTCTTGACAATATAAAAAGCTTGTTTTTTATTGATATTACTATATAAATATTCAATAAAAATAGATTTCAGAGGTGAAGCATGACTTAAAATTATTTTTTTTCTCTAATGGTTGCAAAAGATATTTAAGATCTTAGAAGTAATACAAAATAAAATGAATTGTAAAAATGCCATAGGAAGTTGCTATAAATGTACAAAAAGTGTAGTTTTAGCAATGCTGGGAACTTTGAAAACAATGTTTTTGAAAAAGTTACTATTTCATAAAGAAAGGGAGAAAAAAGAAGCCTTATAATGAAATTGTCCAACCAGATTTCCTTTCCAGGTTCAGTCTTTAAACTCAATTGGAGCATAAATACAAGAACAGACCCAAGGTTATCAGAGTCCTCCAGGAAAAGGTACTTTGAAAAATTTCTATTAGGGTGCTGACTTTTACAGAGAGGGAAAAGCTCTGAGTGCTTATTTGTGGTTAGAACTTTGAGTGGAGAGCAGCAAAGTTAGATTACATATAAAATGTCCACTCAATAGGTTTCCAGCTGCTTTTTCTTTCAAGCTGGAGGTTTTCTAACTTTAGTTTTCAGAAAGCCAGATGGTACTTTAATCTTCATATTGGCTTAATGGAACAGGCAAACAATTACAGAATTATCTCAGTGCCATTTGTTCAATTACAGCTAAGGGAGAAAGGGGATTCCTGCACATACATCCATTATGACTTCTTTTTCCTCCCAAGTTTCACATCTGGCTGTAGAAATTAATTGTTACTGTCTCAAAAACATGTTGTACACTGTAATGATCCTGCATTTCAAAAGTATGTGAAAAGCCTTTCTGAAACATAGAAATAATGTGGTCCAGACATTTTTATAAAAACCCACTCAGGCAGATCAAATAAGCAGGGAAGGATTTTAGCAAATAATCCATAATCAGGTAAAGACCACAGGTGACAACCAAAGCATTATTTCCATATGAAATACTTTAAAGGGTTTTTTTGGTCTTTCTTCAAGTCAAATCTTCCACAATGGGAATCGTACTTTACCTTTAGGCAAACCTTAATGTTTTCTTTGGGTCTCTACTCCTAGAGGTTGCTTAAATAGATGATTAACGGTATACCTACACTCTATTAAAAAAGTCTCATTAATTTAAGGAGGCTTTCCATACACTTAATTTGAATTCTGGTAAATCAATGCTCAGATAACTGGTGAAAGAATTCAGTCTCCTACCTACATCTTACAAGCTCAAATACAGGGAATAAAAACCTCTGCTAATGCTGCATGGTGATGGAATAGCACTAACTGGAATGATGGAGAGCATCTTTCCAGTCAGTGCTATTCCATCACCCTGCATGATCCTGTCCTCCTCCTCAAAATACCCACTGAGTGCAGGGAGAGGGAACACTGTGCTATCCTTAGCAGAGCTAACCAGGAGACTGAGTTAAAATTATATCAGAAGATCACTTCTGGGTATCCACATCTTCATTCCTTCAGGTTTTCTTATAAATAGTGCAAAATGAAAGATTTCTTTCCAGGCTGAAATTGAAACTTTCACTGGAGAAAGGTCCGTTTTAAAAAGAAAAAGATATCTCAGGTGAATGCTGATGGAAATTTTCCCTGGTTTAATTTCAAATTTTTCACCAAGATTAGATTTTGCCAATACCACAAAGGGCATTCAAGAAAGATTGCATTGGCATTGGAGCTACAACAGCACAGGCTTCTCTGGCTGATTTTCCTAATGCTTCCCAGAAGATGACAGCTAGATTAATCTTGCTACCTCTGCATGAGCAAGAACTCACTTGTACAATTTCTGATTTTATTGAGACTTTTCCCAAGTCTCAACAAAATTACAGTACAATTGTCATAAAATAATTCTTCCTATAGTCATCATCCTAGCTAGCTTTAACTACAAGAACTAAGTAAGAGAAAAGACTGCCTACAGTAAGCATGTGTTTGTGTGCCTGCAGATACTGAGGTTATTTTCCCTACACAGCTTCTGAGAAATGCTTGATTTGTCCCCATTAGATTTTCACAATGAGAGAACTATTACATACAGCACCTTTGGGTATGGGCAATGGAGAAATACAGAAGTTAACAGTGCAATTTATGAACAAGCCCAAAACATGCTCTGAAGGTTAGTTTCTAAAAGACTGGCAGTGACTCTCCTGACTAAATCCTATCAGGAGGCAGCTGACAGCCAGACTGTGGAAAAGTACTTCTTGAAAATAATCCATTCAAGTTTCCCTCAGCTAGCCAGACACTTCAGATTACAGCATGCACAAAGCCAGGAAAAAAAATGAAAATTTCCCGTCTTGCCAGCCTGAGTTTCTCCAGCTGTGTGACTGTATGTTCAAAGTCCAACTATGAAATGTTAGCGTGGCTTGTGCTGGTATTACCTTGCCACTTAGCTGGAAAGGAAGAGTGTTAGACATCCCTCCGGGTAACCTAAGAGCTTACTTAACTTAAAACACATGAATGACTTGTGACCAAAAGATTCTGGCTAGGGTGGGAGAGAAACCCAAGTCCTTGGCCCACTCTCCAGCTGCTCCCTGCCAGCAGAAGTGCCAGACAGACAGAAAGGGAGCCTCAGGCAGTCACAGTCAAGTCCCTTGAATAGGAGGATCCCTACCCTGATCTGGCTCTGGCTCTGTTGCATCAAAAAGGAGACTTTTCTCTGTGTTTTTACTTCAGTATGTGTCCCCTGACACTCAACATGGGGTGGAAGGGATACCTTTCAAGGAAAAGAACTTTCTTTGTCCATCATTTGCCTGTTGTGCCTAGCTATATGTTAGGGTAACCATAATGAGCAAAGTGGCTAAAATTCTGAACAAAAGCTGTCTTGGATGGCTCTTCCTTGCATTTCTGTGAAACAAGATATGTTGTGCCTGGGCAAGAAGGAGAATGCTCACTGTTCAAATGAATTACAGCCCAGTCAGTCATAAAAGTTTTACCAATTATCTCTAAACTAAAATAATACCACAATAATTTTTATAGATAGAGTTTATATGACACTATGTTTCAAAGAAATGAGGTCCTAAGACAACATCAGTGACCTGCTCTACTTCTTGCAGCCCTCTGAACTGCAGGAGGTATGTGGTGGCAAAAGTCTACAAACAACTGCTTCTTTGGTTCATCCTCTAGTATCAGTGAAAACTTAAAAAAAAAGCCAACCCTAACCAAACAAACAGAAACCCCAACACACACACAAACCCTCCCCCGACCAAAAAATGCCCAAGCCAACACCCCA